GTGCGCACGGTGCCTGGGTGGTCATCCTCAGACCCCGCGCCTCCGCCTCCGCCTCCGCCTTCGCTGGGCTTTGGAGCTGTGTCTAAGAGTCTCCTCCTCGTAACTACGCGTTCCTCTCCTGCAGCGAACGATGTCCTCTGTGCTTCTCCACCTGCTCTAGCTTCTGCGGTTGTTTCTCTTGCTTTCTTTCCCTGTCCCAGAGGAATTAGCCCAGGTGTCACGGACCCCTCCCTAATCCTGGAAGTTCCCACCGCCATCCTGGAGGTCCCAGCAGGTCACCTTGTCTGTCACACTGCTGTGGTCCCCACACATTCATGCATTCATTCGTTCTCATCCACTGATTATTTCCTAGGGCTTCCCCCTTATCAAGCGCTATCTCTTTACCAATCCCCTGACACAGATGGAGAAATGGAGACTAAGTTCTGGAAGCCAGTAGCAAGGCCGGCCTTCCTCTCCATTCAGACGCTGCCCCCATCCGTACCTCTGGTGGTGACACGAGTGACCCTGGTGTCTTTGTGCTGGGTGACCTTTAAGCTGTAAGGAAAGGCAGAGAAAAAAGGCCTTCTGGTTGATGAACGACCTGTGCTTTGAAAAAGGGTAAAAGCTGCCCAGAAGGTGAGGCATGTCCCTGGGAGGCCCCCTGATGGCCTCTTCTGTACATACTGGCTTCCAGGTCTTCACCACTGTGGCTAGAGGCCTAGTCATGCTCAGAGTGACTGCAAAGCGCAGGCAGGCCTGCTCACTCTGCTATGGCTCCAGCCCACATTACCCTCTATTATCCCACTTAAATATCACAAGTCCATGAGGCCATTAGAATCGTTACCCCCACTTCATAGAAGAGGAAACTGAGGCCCAGCAAGGAAAGGAGGATAGCTTGAGGTCACACACCTAGTCCGAGGTGGAGTTGAGGCAGAGAGCCTCATCTTGCTGCTCTCAATTGAGGAGATTTTGAAACATAATAATGCCTGGGAATTAGAGATTCTGTGTTAGCTGAGAGAGAGTGTAGTGGACATAAATTTTTTTTGTTTAAGTTTTCAGTGTTATTGTTATTTTACTTTTCATTATAGAGATTTTCAAACATATGCAAATGAGGTCACCTAGAATAGGCTATGGAGAAAATGGCATAATAGACCCCCTGCCCCCATAAACCTGTCACCTAGCCTCAACAGTTCTCAGCTCATGGCCAACCTTATTTCCTCTCCACCCCCTCCAACTTGCTTCCCCCCATTATTTTGAAGTGAATACAGACATCTTATCATTTCACTTCTTCAAGTGTTTGTCACTTCCAGCTGAGGTCTAAACCATTCCAGGGCTCATCCCTCTGCCCTGCTTTGAGGCTTGGTGAGGTTGAGGATATTGCTCAAGTTCAATGAGTGCACAGCAAAGCTGAGATTGGAATCCATTTCCATCAGACCCAAAACCCAAGTACGTCACCCTATGCTGTGCTGGGGATCCCCCCAAACCCCAGGGATAGTGAGCCCTCTCCACCCAGTGTGACCCCAGGGCTTGCCCCAGAGGTCTCTGTGTGGTAAAAAGACTCGAGCCCCTGGCTAGGCAGCAGTGCCTGATAGGGACACCCAAAGCACAGGGGGCATTCTGAGAGAGAGAGAATAACCGAAAGCCACATGTTGTAGTGGAAAGAGTACAAATTTAGGGATGGGCTGATCTAAATCGAAATTCAGCTCCACCATTTGCTCAACTCTGGGCCTCGGTTTTCTCATCTGTAAAATGGAGACATTGATATTAACCCAATAGTGTTGAGAGGCTCAAATAAAATAATAAATGTGAGAATGCTCCACCTACTGTCT